ACCTTGCTAATCTCCAAGCAGATCCCTCTCGGTGGCAAAAAGACAGTATCAAATTGGCCAGGCAGTATCCATTAGCCAGAGAAGCTCCGCGGCCACCGACGGGGACCGTTGGTGGGGATCAGGACAAAAAAAAAAACGCCATATATAAAAAGGTAACGATCTTTCCCCACAACCTCTGCTTGGAGAGTAAGACCTTGCCACTTTGAGCACTATCCGACATATCGTAAATGACACAGACAACCCTCTGCATGACTTTGTATGTGTTCCGCCTCAAAGCACTTATAACTTAAGACGAAGTAAACAGCCACTTTCCTCTTTCAGTAGAACGAAACGACATGCACAATCGTTTATACCACGTGCATTGAAGTTATTGTCTCAGCATTCTACGTAGTGGTATAGGATTTTATATGCAAATCTGTAAATATGAATCTATCATTGTTACGATTGTAAATGTCAATTGATGTTTTATGTCTAGATTTTAAATCTTCATATATATCACTGTCATTTTATCTTAATGGTTAGTCAAGGATACTTGCAGTGATTGTAAAAATCCGACGTATTTCATGTGACTTTTTGTAACATGCAAGTCGATTTCTTAAATAAACTGAAACTGAAACTAATTTGTTCCCATAGTTGTAACATCTAGTTCTCTCCTGTTGTCACCATTGCTAAGACCGTATACACCCACTCTGATCCCCTTTCCTCAACCAACATCAAAATAAAACCTACCTTAGGTTTCCAGCAGCTGTTGGGTATGCTGTCCTTTGCTGTCCTCCAGGACTGTACTATCAGGTCAGAGTCCAAATGTTTTCCCACAAATGACTTGTACATGTCTGAAATATACAGAAATGTATTTGTTGCCAACTATAGTATCCTGTAGTGGCTGGCATAAAATGGCCGACTGGCTATTCTTGCATTTCTAGCTGGATGTTGCCTTGAGCTTTACATGACTTTCCTCACTCCACCCAGGTGTAAAATGGTACCTAACTTTGGTTGGAGAGGTAAAAGGTGGTGGAAGGAGAGAGATGGGCTCCACCTTAAACACCGTGGATTATCAACCCACTGCCCTTATGGCCTCAAAAGGCTACGGGACTACATTTACCTTTATAGAATCATGGCCTCCTACTCTTCTTCACAAACTGATCACAAAGCATATAATGTGATTTATTGTGGATCCTAATAAAGTCAAGTCAAGCACAGTTCTGTTACCACACCTTCTGTGTAGTTGCCAGACTTGGTGAAACTGAGGACATCCACCCCTCCTCTGGACACCAGAGGCGCCTTCTTGTTCCACGGTGGCACAGCAGGCCCCACCCCATCCATGGCAGGGGAGAAGTAAGGGTTATCCTCCTGTAGGGATGCTGGGAGGCTCGCGTCGTAGATGGCAGGCTCCATGTACATGAGAAGCTTTCCTGCAAAACCACAAGAAGAAGAAAGTATTTCACATAGAATATGCTAGCCTTCTGTCCAAACAATTAAGCTCTAACGTTAGTGCCCACATCAAGTAAAAGTTATTAACTGTTAACATAACAGCATATTGGCACACATGGCTCAGGAAGTTATAGCCTTATTCCTTTTAACCTCCTCCCTGCTGCCTAATCCAATAACCAATACAAATCTTGTGACAAATGGCTACCTTAGCAGGCTGAAGGTTAAAGCAACTGTTACAGCCTATGACAAGCAAGTCAGATGGTGCCATTTTATGCGGGCCTTTTAGACACATGTACACTACAGACCTACCCAAGTTACTTAAGTGACAATGTCATTGATAAAATCCCAGCTGTGTACATGTATGTTTCTGGTGCAAAATGTAACTCACCGATCATTCTGAAGGCGATGTGTTCAAACGTGACACACATGAAGATGTGTGCATACTTGGTGGAGAAGTCTCCCACAGGCCAGGTGTATGACTCCTCCAGCCAGTTTGGGAACCTGGGCAGACTGTGCACCAACCAGAACCCTCCGTCCTTGTCAAACAAGATAGAACCTAGCAGAAAATTAAGCGCATTGTCCATTTTCTTGTGACTTGTATTCTTGTGGCTGTTTCAGCATACAAATGCTGATTCACTCTTGAGTTAATTTGACTAATGGCCAAATGGCTAGCCTGGGTACCATCCGGATTTTCGCTACGCAACGCTTTTTTCGAGCGTTGCGTAACGAAAATCCGGATGGTACCCAGGCTACAAATGGCTGCCTGTTGAGTTGTTCCTTTGCTTTTCTGTTTCTGTGATTAAAATGCAGAGAAAAAATATCTTATGATCATTATCATACTTCCTTTTTTTGCTTTACTATTCACTATTACTATTCACTATTTTATGCTACTACATTGTACCTTGCAGCTACCTGCCCTACCTTTTGCATGCCCTTTGTTTTTATACAACTGTCCGTCAGGCCACTGGTCATTGTATGCAAAGTAGGCAGCCTGTTCCTGTAAACAAGACAAAACTGATGTACAAACATAAAACACTTTTGTTTCAACAACTGAACATAATAGTGACTTGTGTGTGCATAATGATTACTGTATACTAAAGTATGGCCCCCAAAACTGTTACAGAATGTCAGCGTAAACAATGCAGTACATTTGATAGTAAAGTTATTTTCTCAATGTGTGTTGGATTCTCTAACGTACAGAGGATTGATGCCATTAGCCTCTACCAGGCTTGGGGAGGCGGCTGGAAAGAGTAGAAATCGGCCAAATGGAGAGATAAGCATGCCAACAGAGTTTCTCCGTTGAGAGAATATTTCGCCGCATCCAAAATGTTCTCAGTACTCAAAGTACAGTAAAAATTCATCAGTACTACCACACTCCTTACCTGCCTCATCTTGTTAACATTGTCATACATCTGCTGCAGGGTGTGTCCCAGCGCACCTGTCCTGCTGCCCACCTCTGTCCCAGGTAACACCCACTCCCCCACCCGGGCGTCCATGTACAGGTGTCCCCGCCCTTTCTGTACATGGGGGTCCGAGTGGTCGGGCAGAGCTGGCAGCTTGTAGATTATGAACCTTGCACACGGAAAAATAAATTAGATAATTTAAGAAACTCCTTTCAGTCTCAATTCATTGAGATGGAGATAGCTTGGGACTCTTGTAGGGATTTGATTGCAAACAAGGATACAAAAGCAAATTGTGAACTGAATTCAAGCAATATCATTGAAAATGAAAAATATAAAGTAACTAAAAGTCTGATTTGTATTTTGATTGGCTGATTTCAGTCATAATGTTGACCATAACTTTGTAAAATATGATGTAGACATCAAAATACTTTAATGTCAAATTGTGTAGTTTAAATGAACACACTTTCTCAGACGTCTTTCTAGGACCTTTGACCAGTCAGAATGCATGTTATATACAACTTACATGGTGCACAACTGTAGCTTTTGAGATGGAGACTTACAATGTAACGTTAGCCTGATGTTCAAACCTAGTTTAGCTGCCGAGCCTCTATCGTCCTGTTTGCGAAGATGACGAATGAGGCTCGGCAGCTTAATACATGTAATTTTGGACACCAGGCTCACTACTAACTTACCAGTCGACTGGAGCTCCTGTACCGTCCAGACAGGAGATCCTGCCATTACAACTACAGCTGAAGAAGGCCAGGACAAGCGTGCACAAGCAACACAGGTGCACGTGGTAGGAACGGTGCCACATAGTTCAGGTAAGTACTCCTCCTCCTGGATATTGGAAATTCTACAATCTTTCACCGAGGTTTTATCAGTTAAAACAACAGTTTTAACCCAAATTTTCAACCGTCTCTCTTCGGGTATTGATACAGAATTCTAAGTTTTGCCACTCATTCACAGAACAAGATCTGAAGCGCACGCTTCGAACTTTGGAACTCTGTACACAAACAGTCCAGGTAAACTAAAGACGGGTCAAATGGCTTAATATTTAACAAGAGGCTGTTGACGGGGGATTTGTCTATCAATTAAAAGAAGAAAAGTGTGGCATTTATATGGTTGTGAGCATACGATCAATATTACAATCTAGAGTTTTAATTAAATTGCAAAATAGGCTTACCAACATATCAAATATCATCTCAATTCATTCCAGGTTATGCTGACAAGATATCTTTTGTACCACATCTTTTGAACAAACGTAACACACGGAGTCCAAGCCGTGCAACCCACGTTCGGGATGCCGTTGCAGTACCACTAGCAACAAATAAAGGCCGCTTTTGATCCATGCAAGCAAGGCTGGATGCTCCTGATAACACAGCAACGTTGAAAGCGTACTTTTTTGTTACATCATGTGGGTCACATATTACTGTGATGAACCGTAATCGCAAGTTGCTAACATTTTGATTGCCGAAAATATGAAAAGAAAACAATCTCACGACTTAAAAGTAGACATTTATCCCTCATATGTATATTGACTTTATACCATATAAAGGCAAAAATTAGCGAGTGTAGAACGAAATAAGTAGTCTTTCTTGAAGAAATTTAGTAGGATTGATTTTTGTTGTGTTCTTTGTCAGTGCCGGATTATCCCACAAAGAGTCGCGTTAGAGTAAAATTAAAACACACGGAAGAAAGTTAGTAAAAGTCCATCAACACGATCAACAACCACCTGTCCGTCTCCCACCAGGCACATCACATGTTTCCTAGCTCGCTGTCTCTCATTTTCATGAACGCCAACAAATACAAACACATGTTTGCATGACTCTGATTTAATTCTAATGTCTACATCACCAACATCAATGGTCCCCAACCGAGCCTTTCCGGTCCCGCGGCGCCCTGTGTAAGAACCCCTGACAGGGCAAGTTTCCATCTTCAAAACTGCACCAAATTAGTTCTTTTACGGGAGACGCACATTACAAATGAGCCGATTTCGCCCAGGCTTTCATGTTTCAATCACTAAAGCCTGGAGAGCTATGAAAACTGGTCGTGTATGAAGTCAGGCGACGGTATCTCAAAGGACAGTGGATTTGAAGAGCGTGGGTTGTGGACAGGTCTGTCGGATGGGTCCGAGGTTACTACCGGGATACTAGTACTACAGAGTTGTGTCACTAGAGTCAAGTCTTCGGCCAGGTAGGAACTGTTGGAGTCCAATACTAGTTTACTGGTTTTATGATAATTTATCTCTTTGAAGCATTGGATCTGCCTTACTTTTTGACCTGATAACTGTTCAATAAGAGAATGAAGAACGAAGGATGCGCTGGTAGTTATATGTAACGTTACTAAAGCACTGAGTCAGCCAGAGTCACAGTAGCTTGACTAACAGATCGCTGGAACTAATTTCCACCCGGTAATTCAATCCTAAATGAAGCACACTGTTGTGACTGTCCGCTCGTTTGTCAATTAATCGCGTAATTAAAAGTCCTTCTTTGGATATATTATTTCACTGCTCTTCCGACAGACGGGAAGAAACCGGACGAACATGTTCTAAAACTGCTGTATTATTCATAGAAAGTATGGCTGGGCCAGGTAAAATGCTGCAAGAGGGGTAAAAGGGGGAATACTTGCATTAGGAATCTTAGACATCGAGCGAGAAAATTGTTGACAATATGACAATAAACACAAGCACATAACAAGTAAATAGACCGACAGAAAAGAAATTTATGAACAAATTGTGGCCCTGACGTCTTTTACTAAAACTCCATCCTACATCCATCTGCTTGGAGATTTCGCGAGTCCCATCCAAGATGCTATGCTATCTTCAAGCAGATTTGGGGGGTGGGGGTGGGTGGCGATTTCTCTTCGTTTTTCCGTGAGGAAGACTGGGCGAACAGATAGAAAACATTTGCTCCCAATATCTGCTTGAAGATTTCTCAAAGTTTAGCACCCCACCCCCACCCCGGGGGAGCCTGTGTCATGACAGTCCCCAGGTGTGGTCGTGTCAGCTGCGCACGGCGTACAGGGACACATCTGGTTTATATAGGGTTGGCCACCATCTGGGGCTCAAATCATCTACCCTGAAACAACGCTTCTCGATCTGTGCAACGACATTATGGTGATAGGACGTTTATGTGATATATCGCACAATAACATTCGCGTATTGTCTTAGAAGTCTATTCAAAATCACGATTCATGTAATAATGATGGGAAATATTGACGTCCCCACTTTTTTCATTTTTCATATCCTAGAAAATAGTTATAATTACAGCTAAAACTAAACTTATTCCTTTTGCATTGAAATACCCTACATAGTATATATATAGATAGTTGTGTTTGAAGTTCCTGCGTTAGGTAGATTACATGACCGTTACTAGATAACTTTGCTACAAATGTAATATAATATAATATAATATAATATAATATAATATAATATAATATAATATAATATAATATAATATAATATAATATAATATAATATAATATAATATAATATAATATAATATAATATAATATAATATAATATAATATAATATAATATAATATAATATAATATAATATAATATAATATAATATAAAATATGTGTGCGACCCAGAAGGATTAGAAATGAACTGTTGTCGAGTCAATGTTCACGGCAACTACATTGGCTTGGTTTGTAGAATACCTCTTACGCTCTTGCTGTAAAAAAAAAATAAGGTGCGCCAAACAAAAGATATGTCAGTCGTACAACATAATACCGAAACTTTCTGGAGGGAAAGAAGAGACGAAGAAAACAAGTTCACGTTTACTAGTGTCCTTGACCGTTTGTGGCTTTAGGTGTGGGGGCTTGTGGATAGACAGGATGTGGTGACCTGTCACAAGAAACATGACATCCCCGTGAGTCATGAGGCCCCCTACCGGGGGACACCCGACTTCTACTCCTTCAGACCATTTCTTATCCCCAAACATTCCTGCGAACTTGTCAAATCCGAAAAAAATCCAAAATCACGACCACCAAATCATTCCGCGTCTCTCTGAACACTTCAGTAAAGAATCGCCTATCAGTAGGAGATTTTGTACCGGAAAGGGGGCCTGTTTTCAATTACTGCCCCGCCTGATACAAATTTAGAAGCTTGCGCTGGCTGGCGAGCACTTTATTTTTGGGCTGCCGAGCCAACGCATGCGTACCCAGTAGAACACGACTTCAGGATGCCGTTTCAACATGGCAGACATTGCAATACTCGAAGGTTTCCTCAAGCACAGAGATGGAAGAAAGGTACGGTGAACCGCCAGATTTCACGTGTCGATTGTTGAAGTGCTTCCCCACCGAGGACTGAACTAATTTCTGTGTTTTCTCGTCCACAGTGGAAACAGCGATGGTGTGTTCTGAAGAGGTCGTCTCCCATTGCAGGTCAGTTCTTGTCTTTCCCGTGTGTGAAGCACAGATAACGGGGTCTGAAAAATATAGCAGCCGGGCCGGGAGAACCGTGAACAAGTCGTGACAATGTTGCGTCTGGTGGTTTATAGGAGAGATATTTACTCAGGGATGTTCGTACATGTTTGTTGTTGTCTCCCGGTACGGCTGTGTCGGCCCGGGCGGATCTTGTGACCGGTCGCGAGTAGCGCAGGGACAAGTGTTGGGTTTCTGTCCTGGCAGGAGGCCTTGGGTTTTTTTTCTTCGAAGCGACTCCCGCCAAGATTCTCATCGGCTTATAAGTCTCCTTCCTTATTTACGTATTGTAGCATTATTTTTCGAAACAAATCGTCCTGTTCTCGGGAGGGTGTGAAAGTTTAGATGGGCGGGATTTCGCACCGATTTGGGCGCGGTTCTAAACACTTTACGCTTGCCATCAATTTCACTTGTTGCTCAATCACTCTCACTTTCGCGAGTCTATTTCGAGTATTTTACTCGTTTTTTCCTTGAACTTGATACCTGTATTACATTGCGGGTATCACGAGGAAGTGTGAAAAAGAAGCTCGTGTGTGAGGGATACGTTTACACCCGTACTACGTCAAACACATAAAACTACTTCAGAGGGTCAGAAAGCAGCGAAACAGATATGCTCAGGGCCAGGCCCACCATCGCGCCACCCTGTTCCATATTCACAACAATGTTTTAATTTCGCGTCTGGCTTCTCTGTTGAAGAGAAAACATTTTCATCTTTTCGTGCTGAGAGAACATATTTTTTCTCTTTTCCTAGTATGAAAAATATGTTGCAAAATCTTCAAAATCTTGGTTGCCTTTGTATAATAAATAGAAACTGAAATAAAATTGTATAAGTCACGAAGAGAGTTTCTGGAAAAGCAAAATCAGTTTTGTTTTCATCTTTTTTGTTCCATGCATGGGGTAGTGTCTCTCGATATATTAATGTCAACAACAGACCAGCACCGAGTGATATGAAGGATTTTGAAGAAGAAAACTCTGAAAAGATCAAGTTTCTGTTTTTGTTGGTCTTCTTATCACATTTGATTTGCACTTCATTTGCGTGTTTTCCAAACAATTTACTTAATATCATCTGTTGGTCAATCCATTTAAAACAGACCCCAACGTTATATATTGACAGACCCAGACAATTATGTAAACTTGTTTATAGTAAAGCCTATGTACTGTATACTACTATGAGTGACTGAATGTATAATACAAGAAACTGTTGAGGAAATTACTCTTTGAGTTATGAAGTTTTGCCTGCAATGATAATGGTATCCCTGAATTATGCTATCGTGCGAGGAAGGCTCCTTGGTATCACAAGAAAACAGTTGTTATGTTCAAGGACATTTTACTTCTGTATAATGTCCTTGCTCTGTTCAAGAAAAGAGAGGAGTAATATCACTCACAACGTAAATGTAACACATTTATTTCCCGTTGTCATCTTGACAACAATTAATGTATGAAGGAAAAGATTTCGTCCTAGGAGAAACAGAACTTAAGAAATGGCTCTGTAGAATAAGGATGCCCTTGTGATGGGTGGGAAAACTCAGCTGTTGACAGATTAACAGGCAACACAAACATTGGGAGGGTTTATCATAAGGGTATGAAGTCCAGGGCCTCAGCGATTTGTTTACATAACCCTGGGATCTATCTGATCAGGATTTCAACAGCAAAGACATAACAGGGTCAAAACCAGGGATGAAGAGAAATTAGTGTCAAAGTCTGCTTATTAAACATTGGGATTTGAAGACGAATCAAGAATGATTGACATCTGCTTATCAAGTTAAACTCTAGCAAAATGGCTCCCGTGGATCATTTTTCTGATAGTTTGGTGACATGTTTACAGTAAGGCTCTAGGAATGTTATCATTGGTTATCCGACATTGTTATGACCTTGAGAAATCCCGTACATCCTGACATAATTGACTGCTCCAAGGTTGTATAACAGCTCAGAACCGCTTCGTACTAGTAAGGAAGAAGAAGGGTTGTAGACAAACCAACAGTCAGACATACTCTCTATGCAAATTTACTTTTCACTATGCTCCTGTCGATAGACTAACTGCTTGAAAAAACCTATTCACATATTCATGATATTCTGCATGATACGGTAATGTTTTGTACAGGGCTTGTATCGAAATATTAGTCTGTCCAAAGTAGCCTCTACAAGGCTTCAGAGGCAACTGGAAAGAGTAGACATTGGCCAAATACAGATACCATGCCAGGAGAGTTGGTCCGCTTAGGGAGTACAGTTTGCCACTAGGACCAACTACTCTAGCATGTTATTATCTGTCTATATGGCAGTTTCTACCCTTTTCAGCCACCTCTGAAGCCTGGTAGAGGCTATGTACATACGGCATGACAAGACTAATCTCACCATATGTTGTCCAGTCCCCCTAGCTTGCTGAAGTGTTGTTTACAAACAGGAACAAGAGCTTTTGCCTTATCTCTTCAATTTCCTCATTCATCCCTTGACTTTTCCACTTCTGAGAATTAAGAGAGGAAAGACTCCTAAGTCTCAAATTCTGCCAACTGTTTGCATTTTTTCTTGACATCATGCTTTGAAGGACGGACTTTTTGATTGACGAATGGCTGCGGTTTGGCAAATGAACCTGACTGCACCCCGCTTTTGGCTGCCTGTATACCATATGTAACAATATGCAATTGTAACAGACGGCCATGTTTAGAGGTTACTGTTGGGCCTTGTTCAGATGTTGCCCGTCTGTCAGCTTCAATGTCTCCTCTCCAGCTGTTTGTTGAACCTCCTGTTGTGCTGGGAAGGGGAGGCAAGCTTTGTCACGGAGAAGTAGAACCCAACACACTCCAAGTTGAGACGAGTAGGGGTAATAACCTGGTGTGTTTGGCTCAATATGCAAGCCGTGGCAAAGTCGCTTTGCACTGCTAGCTAACAAAAAATTGTCATGCTTTTTCCAGTAGTCCCTCAGTCTGAGGTCGATTGCTATATCTTTTTTTATGACTATCGGACATGTTATAATCATTGACATACAATTAGAAACACCATTTTCATGCAGAGATTTTAACTGATTTAAAATGACAAATTGCATGCCTTTGGATTTAAATGGCTATTGTTTTCATCAAAGGCATCTTTCCCACATGGACTGTTCTTAAAAGACTGGGGAGTCTGTTGGGTCGTAATGTTATATTTGCTGTCCATTCCAAGGATTGAGAGAATTCCTTGAAAAGTCTTTAATTGCACAATGCACTCGGTGGTCTTGTGTCTGTTTCCATTTAGACCAAGAAAAGGGCAGCAAATATGCACATTGAAGTAGAAAAGGATAATGTCAGAGGGTCAGGGAATAGAGGAATGAGGGAGCCTACAGTATCTAAAGTAACCCAGCTGTTTGCCCAGACAGAATGGCTCTCTGTGTGCCACCATTGTTCAGAGTGAATGGTTTCAGTCAGCAGCTACAGCAATGTTTGCTGTTAAAATTTCATGGTGCTTTTCTTGTCAGCTACTGTCTTGAGTAAGTGTGCTGTCCTTGATAGAGATGATCACACATTATGGAAAGGAAAATGGGGATGTTTTTGCCCTTTTCCAAGCTGTTCCAAAGAGCCTTAAGTGTGCCTTTCCCATTCCTCCGGGCAGTTTTCTTGACATGTTTTCAGTCTGGTGAGAAGGAAGCCTTGTCTGATTTCTTTGAAGCTGCTTATTGAGTGGAAAATTGCTGGGTCAGAACTGATGCCTCTAGAGTAATCCCTAAGCTTGTTATGTCAGGGACAGACCATCATGACCCAATGATTAGTGTATTAGTTCAAACCTAAGAGTATTTCCAGTCACTGCACTTTCTTGTCACTTGAGATTTAAGCCAGACCTAGGTTATAGTTGTTGTGCACACTGTTATTAATAAGACTAATGGTAACTGTAAGTTAATGATTATTATTTTGTAGTGTTAAGCAGGTTATACATGACAATACTTTTTCTCAGCTGTCAATTTTGTGTTGGAAAAAGGACCAGTATCTACTACTAATAGTCTACAGCTGGACAGTTTTACAGGAAGTGATGTCAGACACAACATCCTATCAGTGTGGCCTCATGGGAAAGAGCTGTCAGTTCCAGAGGAAGATGATGTCATTTAGAGAAATAAACAACTTGTCAGAATTGAAGCCAATAATGATTATTGAGGATTAGAGCCTTCACAGTGGTACAGCTGTATTTTCCTACCGTAATGATAGAAGTGTCTCTGAGTAAATAATAAACATCAACAGAGTTGTTCCTTTCTTCCACTATCAGACCTGCACTTTGAAAGTGCTTCTTTCTAGTTCTTAATGATATTTTCTATGAAGGCCATGAAGTGTACACATCTATTCCTAACAAAACAGCAATACATCTCAGATAAAAGAAAAATACCATGACTGAATATGGATGCAAGCTCATTATCATCATATTGTCTGTAAAGTTCAAACAAACCCTGCTTCCCTTTGTACGAATCCATCAGTGACGCAACTAGACAGCCTTTGAGCAAGCTTCATTAGCATATAATAGCAGGATGACAAGTGATGACTGGCTGCTGACAGCTTATAATGATTGTTTGTTTACGTTGAGTTGGAACAAAGCATTTCTGGTTGCCCCATACTGAAGATTACTGCACTTTCATCCACGTGGTGGGTCTCATGTGACCATGAGTGGGTCCCACTCTCAGGCTGGAAAGTGTTTGTCCTCATTTCTGGACCAGATTTCGTGAGCAAAGCACTTCTTACATCTCGGCATGAGCCGACTCTATACTTGGGTCCTGCAGCTTGAAGGTCGTGAACAAAGGCAAAAGGTCACGCAGACAGGCCTGGTGCCACTGTCGGACTTCTGGGATCCATTTGTGCCTGGATCTGTCTGGATATCTTGTTGGGGGGATTTTATTGTCAAGTAGGCAGAGGCTCTGGCCAAATTAATGTCTGTTCATATTACACAACTGACACATGCCAACAATGCTTCCTCCTTCACATGTCAAGTGTCAAACTCAAAGGGAAGTG